TTTGTCCGAGTCGGGATGGCTAAATATGTTGAATAGATTTAAACTTTATCGAGCCACATTTTACTATAAAATTTTAAAATACAAATCTCCACCCTATTTATATGAGAAAATAACTTATCGCACCGATATACATAATGTGAATCTACGCAGGAAAAATACTTTAAGAATACCACAACACCGAAAAGAAATATTTAAACGTTCATTTTCTTATAATGTTCCGAATTTATTAAACTCTTTAGACTTTTCAAATATTGAACTGTCATGTCATACTTTCAAAAAACAATTTAAAAAATATTTACTTCAGTCTCAGTAAATAAATTTAAACAAAAGTATCTAATAATTGAAAAAAATGAAAAAATAAAAATAAAATAAAAACACCACTCCGTAAACATTGCAATAGCCCCTCTATTTCCTATTTTTCCTACCATTGTCCTCTCCTTACCCTTAAGAATTGTGTTTGGAATCAAAGTAATTTTTAATAATGATAGATCGTGTAGTTGTATTTTTTTCTCGCAGTTAATAATGTTTTAAAATTGATATAATATTAGATTGTCATTTTAAATTGAGGCCTGAACAGTATCTGGAACTTCCAGATGTCTGCATATTTATTAAGGCCTATTGTCGGCTATAAATGCATGTGTTACTTTTAGAATAAAATTGTAAACCATTTTTGTAATTTATGGCATTATGACAATAAATGTATTATTATTATTATTATTATTATTAAAATTCAGTTCGTGGGAAAACCCAGAATAGGAAAACCTATTATCCACTGATGATGAGAAAGTTTTTGGCTTGATTTTCTCTGATTTTCCATCCATAGACGCGTTTCGACCTATCAGGTCTCATCAGCATGGCTAGGAAAGGTTGTATTTTGCCTACAGGCACGAAACTTGGTTTGGTTTTCTTTGCTTTTCCTAGCCATGCTGATGAGACCTGATAGGTCGAAACGCGTCTATGGATGGAAAAGCAGAGAAAATCAAGCCAAAAATTTTCTCATCATCAGTGGATAATAGGTTTTCCTATTCTGGGTTTTCCCACGAACTGAATTTTGGTCGGCCGATTAGATAGTCAGTCACTATATTGCAGCAAAAATTGCTGTTTAGTGTTGAATCTTTGTCTTAGATGGCGCCACGATCAAAGTTCGACCGTTGTACAATATGTATTTTGCCTACAGGCACGAAACTTGGTTTGGTTTTCTTTGCTTTTCCTAGCCATGCTGATGAGACCTGATAGGTCGAAACGCGTCTATGGATGGAAAAGCAGAGAAAATCAAGCCAAAAATTTTCTCATCATCAGTGGATAATAGGTTTTCCTATTCTGGGTTTTCCCACGAACTGAATTTTGGTCGGCCGATTAGATAGTCAGTCACTATATTGCAGCAAAAATTGCTGTTTAGTCTTAGATGGCGCCACGATCAAAGTTCGACCGTTGTACTACAAATAATGTTGCTTTGTGAACATTTTGTTTTTTTTTTTTTAATAACCCTATCAGAATTTTAATTTTGTTGAGACTTATTATTTCATTATATATGAGTAAATATTCCTAATTATTATGTCCACTAATTTGTTACGCAAAAAATCATTTAAAGTTCCATTTTTCTCATAGAATTTTAAAACACGAGCCATATGGAACCACCTGCAAGAGCGTTTTTAAGTCAAACTCCGGCATTTCATTTTTTCTCAGCAAGTTTTCGATACCACAAAATGCAGCTTGAGTGTTATATTGTGGTACGAGTATTTGTGCACTTTGGTTACTGTTTGATGCCCAAGATTCGTCGCTAACTTCTTCTGACTAGGTTGCAAATATCTGCAATAATTTACACTAAACGTATAAAAACAGTTCTTTTTAACATACCACAGGAAGTGAACTGATGTCGATTTCGGTCTCATCTATTGACTGCACAAATTCAAGAGGTATGATGTCTTTTGAATTATTATCGTTTGCCAATTTATACTCTTGTAATTTTTTGGTAAATTTTATTCTTTTCCTACTCGAGAAATTAGTTCCTGTATCAAATTTTCATTGAGATTAGCCATGTCTTCTAAGGTAATTTCGTTTTCTAAAAATTTATAATTTTATATAATAAAATTTTGTGTGTAACTGAATATATTAAATGAAAAGGTTGCTGTTAGTGAAGTGCGCTCGCTATTGTCTGTTTATCACTCAATTATCAAGCCTTCTCTTATACAACGGTATGAATTGTTTCCATAAGTTACTGACCTAACCTATATTTGTAGTGATTCAAAAATACTGCGAACATTCAGATGTGCATTGAAACAAGAAAAGCCGAAACTATAATAATTTATCGAATGCTATTATAGCCAAAGGGACAGTTAAGCAAATTTCAAAGACTATTAAAACAATATACAGGGTGACAATTTGAAAAGTAGCAATCGGGAATATCTCTTAGACAAAAAATGATATCAGGACGATCTCAAATACGTATCGGGGGATTGGAGGGGGGCCAAAATGAAGAACTTTTTGAGTCGGGGTAGCTACCCTAACTTTTTTTTTACATACTAACCTACCTTGTGTGGCACATCGTTTGATAGCTCGTTGCTATCCCTTTACAGTCATATAGCAAAATCTCAAATGGGACGCTTAGTTTTTGATATATCGGTGTTTAAAAATGAGCATATTTTGAAAACTAGTAATTTTGACTATCTCTTAGACAAAAGAATTCTGTCATAAAAGTGTCCAATACACATCGGGGCAACCAAATGTGTTAATTGCCTTACCCCCACTCCCTTATCTTGGGTGCTAGCTGCTCCTAATAATTTTTATAAAATGAGAACCTACCCCGTGTGATACCTCCTTCAAAAGGTTATTTATTCGTCTCTAGAGACGTGCGGAAGCAGATAGAATTACGATAAACACATTATTTGGTTTCGCCGATGTGTAATCGAAACTTTATTGATAGAAATTTTTTGTAATGAGATAGTTAAAATTGCTAATTTCCAAAATATACTCACTTTCAAGCACCGATATCTCACAAACTAATCGTCCGATTCAAGGTTTTGCTATATGACTGTAAAGGCATAGCAACGATCTATCAAACGATGTGCAACACAAGGTAGGTTCATATTTGAAAAAAAAAAGTTGTGGTAGCTACCCCCTAAGGAGCGAGGCGGGGTGTCTCAAAAAGTGCCTCATTTTGGTTCCCCCTCTAATCTCCCAATACGTATTTGGGATCTTCCTGATAGTATTTTTTGTCTAAGAGATATTCCTGATTGCTACTTTTCAAATTGTTACCCTGTATATACTTTCCCATTTCCCACGTTACTGATGCTGTACCTAATAACAAAAAAAAAGTTTTTTTAATTACGATAATAGGGATCAGAATCGTCTATAGTTCACATTATGGAATAATGACGAACACTAGTGTCCTTTACTCACAGCGTGATTTTTTTAGTGGAGATGATTATGGAAAAAAAAATTGAATCAGATGGGTATACCTTGGTTAATAGGTGGGTACTTTTAAATTAGATAAGCCATTCCTAGGTACCAATTTTAATTAATATTATCATAAAATAGAATAAATGTGTAAATTCTCAACAATAGCGTCGGCATTGGCTATTGGAAACAATATTAAAAATTGTTTTAGTTTTTCAACATGAAAAATCTACCATTTTGAAAAATAGTCCAGGTTATAGTCATGGACGTTATAGTGCATATTGCTATTGTAATAAATAAAAAAAGAAAAATGTTTCCATTGTTTGCAAAAAATATATTTATTTACATTAAATCGTCCCGAAGAAGCATTTCAAAGTAGGTATACTTTATTTTATGGTGGGTCCTCATGTGCGCACTGTGAGCGCACTCTGCTGAAAGCGGATCGAAACTACGCTGGGTTTTCACGCACTCATAACCTACAACCTAATAGTTTTGTTTGGTTTTTGTTCATTCCTTCAATTCAATTATCAAAATGAATTATGAAATGAATAATGTGAAAAATTCAACAGACTATTTTACTAGAGTGTTTTACACTGGCAAAATGTCATAGTAACGGCCGGTTTCCTACTGACAAAAATTATGTAGGCAAAATTACTCTCTTGCTTTTATTCAAATTTGTTGCTTTTTGGTAATTTCGCACATTTTAAAGCGTCGTGGTATCTCCGTTAAATATTGACTGAACAAGAACAAGAAATAACATCCACTAATGAAATCAGCAATAAAAAAAATTGATGCAAGTTCCCTAACCCAAACCAATGTTAGTCAAATAATGTAAAATTATCTGTACTTACCCTTAAATTTTTCGATCAAATCGGTCATATTCCATTTCGTGAGGAGATCCTCCAATTTAATCACTCACCACGAACTGTAAATACCACAAATTTAACTATTTGGCTACCTATACCCAAGTAGCAATTTCGCAACTTGCCGACTTGTTCTTCACCAATCCCAACGTTGGCTATTGGTTGGATGGCAACTAAAGCTCTATACGCATTTGTGCAACCTCCGAATGACGTTTGTCAGACGTTGTAATCGCAACGTCTAATAAACTGTACCTGATTGAGGTAGTGCCTACGTCTGTCACCCGACGAATTCACCACCGTTGTTTTGAAGTAGCATCGTGACGTCCGACTGATGTTGGATTGTGAATTCTTCTTGTAAAGTCAGATAACCCACAGGATCCAACGTCGAGACGTCATATTATCCGACAACCGATTTTAGTCTGATCACAACGTCGCACATTAGTTGGAAGCCGTCTAGACCGTCTAGTTGCCGTGTTTTCAAATTTGAAATAATATATAACCTTACTTTTTGCGTTTTTCTAAATTACTACATAGGTACCTATATCAATCCCTAAAACAATATTCAGTCAGTATGTCTGATAAACTAAAGAAGAAATTTAAGTATTCAACAACATTTTTTAGAAAATTGAGACTCCGAAAGCAAAGCGGACTGAATGATTTGGCTCGTAATTTGGGTTAGTATCCTATTCTCAAAGTTATTTTATTATTTTATGACATGAATAAGAAAGAAAATATTTTCAGGTGAAAGTTGCTCAAGAGAACTATCAGACGCTTTCATAGAATGGGATAACACTGTGGATGACAGTACCTCACCCTTCAGCTCTCCCAGTGATTCAATTCCGAACGTTTCTGATCGTCGGTCAAATCTGAATTACTCACAAATTCCGAGAGATTCAAGTTCGGAAACAGAATATGCCCAAAGTTTATCGGAAGATAGTGACAAAAAACTTCCAGATGACTCAGGCAAATGGTCCGGGAACTTAAGGGAAACTGTACGAAATTGAGCTATTAAGAACCGTATATTCCACCAGGCAATAAATGGTTTATTAACTGACTTAAACGGAGCTTTAGGTAGCTTGTCCAATAAATTATACTTAACTTCATTGAATAACTGTCTACCTAAAGATAGCCGAATTCTTTTAGGTACCATAAAAACGATACATATTGAAAAAATGGGTGCTGGTGAATTTTGGTATAATGGCATGAAAAAATCCTTGAGGGACATGCTATGTTATGTGAAAATTATCCCTTCAACAAATAAAATCATTTTCAACATTGATGGCCTACGTATCAATTCCAGTTCAAAAAGCCAGTTGTGGCCAGTGCTTGTTGACATTGCAAACTGTCCAGAGGTTTCTCCTGGTGTGGTGGCAGTTTATCATGGATGCAAAAAACCTCTGCAGCCCGTGATTATTTACAGACTTTTGTGGCGAAGTTGAACAATATATTGGCAGAGCAGGATGTTATTATTAATGAACAAAAAGTTTTTGTCAAAATTAATGCGTTCATTTGTGACACACCAGCTAGATGTTTTCTGAAAGGACATCGCACACATCTTATGGGTTTTCGGGGACCGGTCGATTTTTTAAAAAATTTGGTATGTTGTAGTACTAGTGAAAATAAGTATTTTTCATCATTGCGCAAAATCTCTAACTATACAGGGTGACCCAGTAAAGTAGGTTCGAAAATCATAAACCAAGCCTTTCTATTATCGGTATTAGCGCACCCTGCAAGCTAAATATCGAGATTTTTGTTTTCGATTTCGCAAATAAATAGTCAGATAAGCCTAATATACTATACAGGGTAGCTGAGCTTGCGTATTTTTTTAGAAATCCTGCCCTATTTTTAGAAATAGTGTTACCAAAAAGGTTGCGCTGGATTTTATTTAGCTGTAACTTTTTTAATTTTTGTCCGATTTAAAAAAATGTGGTATCAAAATAAAGCCTATATCACAGGGATGTCATGAAATCTAAAAAAAATTAAAAATGTGATAAAATTCGAGATGGTTGAACGTGATAAAAGTATAACTTTTCATTCGATTAGGGTCTTGGATACACCAAATACACCTAAATTAAGGGGCGGTTCCTCAATTGCGAGTAACTCTAGGGGTTAACTAACCCGGTGCTAATTTCAACCTTGCAGGTTAACTGAGGATTGTGTTTCTCAAGCATGGTGATCCTAACATATTTTTGATTGGTCGAAAGCAGTCACGCATGGGTCGATCGTCAAATTAGCCCATTCACAAAACTTTTTGGAGTTTGTTGTTAAGTTAATGATAAGTTCGAGTATTCTTTTTGGCGCACCGTTTTTTCATTACAATTTGTTAATTTTTGAAGAGCGTGGTTAATGCAGTGTGTGTAGTCAATAGTCATGGAGAAGAAAGATATCGCAAGAGGAAAAAACTTCCTCGAATTAGAAAAAATAATAATAATCAAGCTATAATATAAGCGAAATATAGGGTGCACGAGGTCAGACATGAACTTTTAATCCTTTGTAGAGAAATCCTAGTCATCGTATTTCTCGAGAGGATTAATCATTTGGCGGATTATATAAGGCGTTTTTCCTACGAAATTGTAGAAATCTTCATCTTCATCAATCAATCCATATATTTCTATTTTGAAAAAAAAATATATTACCACAAAATTGACAAATCACGATCACGAATCATCAGGTTATCTCAAAGGGTAAATCCATAAATCCATAAATCGCTAAACCCGCAATATCATCAACAGTGAGCCAATTTAACCCAAGGTTACACCAAAAGTTATAGCTAACTCGCTGTGGAGAAACGTTTACCCTGGAGTTATAATCAACCCGGAAATGACTCGCTATTGATAAACCGACCCTAATATAAGTAACGTATTTGATGGATACTTCACATTGTTCTCAAGTCGAGCGTAGCTAAAGTACCTAACAACGCGATAACTTTGCATGTGCAGTATGTGCCCAATACTGGATTCCCTCCATCCAGCCCAGGGGAGAACAAAAATGATACAAACAGAAAATCTCTGCTTACTTATCTTGTGGGAACCCCGAAAATATTTAGATATATTCGGAAAGTTTTAGTTCATGAATACTCAACAGTGAGAATAGAAAAATTAATATAATTTTCATGTAAATCGACTTAAGGCCCACCCCACCACCCCTAAGTTGGAGTTTTTCTCTTTGAATCCTTTCATGTAGGGCATTTTCAATATTTTGCACTAGTCACAACATTCTGTGTTAAACACAGATTTCAAATGTCCATCCAACATGTCTTTGTGATCTTACGAGTATTATTTGCTTCCTCAGATGTAAATTATTGACGATGTCTGGCCAAAAAAGGCGATATTTCACACGAATTCTGAGATTTGTCATTTTTTCAGATTTCATGACATCCCTCTGTGATATAAGCTTTATTTTGAGACCAGATTTTCTAAAATCAGACAAAAATTGGAAAAGTTACGGGCAAATTAATTCCAGCACGACCTTTTTCGTAACACTATTACTAAGAATAGTGCAGTATTTCTAAAAGAATACGTAAGGTTAGCCACCCTGTATAATATATTAGGCTTATCTAGACTATTTATTTGCGAAATAGAAAAAAAAAATCCCGATATGTAGCTTGCAATGCGTGTCAACATCAATAAATGAAAGGCTTGGCAATGATTTTCGGACCCACTTTACTGGGTCACCCTGTATAGTTAGAGATTTTGCGCAATGATGAAAAATACTTATTTTCACTAGTACTACAACATACCAAATTTTTAAAAAAATCGACCGGTCCCCGAAAACCCATAAGATGTGTGCGATGTCCTTTAAGGTCTATTTTATTTATATTTATGGAATTACGTTTCGGAATTGTAACTTCAAATTCAATTTCAATATACGGAAAATTGTTACAATCGTCAGAAATTTTCAACTATCTTTAACTATCAAAATGCAATTAATATTGTTTATTGGTGTAGTATCTCATGATGCCTATTACAGTTGTTTAAAGTGCACTGTGAAAGGGGCTTACGATAAGGCAGGACGACACATGAGTTTTCTTCAAGTAGATCGCGAACTGAGAACTGACGAAGATTTTAGAAATAAAAAATATCTAGATTATCATCTTATAAATTGAGAAACGAAGAAAAGATTTACCTGTTAACATGATAAAAGATATCCCTATTGCTGACAGTTTACGTCTTCTTGAGTTAGGGATTATGAAACGATGTCTTAAAGGGTGGGTGCATAGGAGCCATAATTTTAAATTAAAATTTTTCTTGCTTCATATGAATTCCATGTCAAAAACGTTGGCTACTTTCAATATTTCAATGCCCACTGAAATTTATAGGGCAGTTCGGGAGCGCGATTCTTTAGCATTTTGGAAAGCTTCTGAATATCGAACATTCCTTTTGTGTTTGGGTCCTGTAATTTTGAAGGGAAACTTAAATGCAGAGTTGTACAATCATTTTTCAGTTTTATTTTGTGCAGTAACAATTTTTTCTGCAAATAATTATGTTGAAAAGGAGAACCTATTAAATCTAGCACATAATTTATTTAATGATTATATTGAGGGATTTATATCAAATTACGAGATAGATTCTATTAGTAGCAATTATAGGCTTAAAAAGAAAATATAGACGATACAATTCAATGATAAACGCCCAGCGAAAGCGATCTACTATTGTTTGATATTCCTTATGGTAGAAACAAAGATCCCTATGATGTCTTTGTCAGGGGAAGGAAAAAATTGCAACAGCGTACGACTCATTCCGGGGCGCATATCACATTACTCCAGTGGCGGGTATTATTATTGATAAAATTATATTTGTAAATTTTCAGCACATTCTATATAATTTTCAAGATTGGTCGATTGGTGACTTGTTATGTTATATTGTTGCTATTTTTTTTTTCAAATGTTTGGTAGAACCACAAGATAACATATTTATTTAAATGCAATTTTATGTTAAGAAAGTGCACACATTTTCTGCTCTTTATATTTAAAAAAGTAAAGGCTACCTACCTCTATTTTTTTTTTCCTTAGATAATAATCAAAATATGTAGCAGGGGCCATATAATTTTAATAAAAGTTGTTTTTTATATTATTTCGGTTCGCTTTTTGCTACATATTTTATACAGGGTGTATCAGGTATGAGTACAAATATTTTAACATGAGATAATATGGCCCATTTCAAGCCAAAACTGTCATATTAACCATGGTTCAATTATTAGTATTTTCGGAGTCATCGCAGAATTTAAATTAAGAAAAATGTCAACGACGTGACATCATTGTACAGATATTATCTCTGCCAGGGAAACTGGTAAATTTGAATGGTTTTTTTTGTGCAAGAAGTTTATTTATTTCCATCTGTTTACGTTTTGGCTTGTAATTTGTTTTCAAATAATGTAGATAATAATTTACATTTTTATCACTTTCCTAGTAAAAATTAAAAATGTGCCGTTTTATTAATTTGTAAATTGCATTCAATGACATTTTTTCGCTAAACATTCAAGAGAAAAATTGAATAATACTCAGTCAGCTACTTGCCAAATCCTTATTATGAAAATATTGATTTTTGTAAAAAAGTTCTCAAAACACTCAACACGCAGATTTTGCACACTCGACACGCAGATTTTGCACACTCACACTATTCCCGTATCACGCAATCCTTGTAAAACGGGCACAATGTTCTTGGTGGCTGCCCTTCTCTTGGGACATATTTCCCTCGAAATTCTGGCGGCTAAATGAGCATTTTGCGATGATTCTGCCTGAACAATAGTATCAAGTATCTGCATATTCGACGTTTGTAAACATTTTATTTTCATAAAAGAATGAATTACGCGCGTTTCCATACTTCAACTCGTCTGACAACATGACAAGACAAATCAAGAATCAATTAATCAGTTCAACCACCTTTGTGCTATGTTGCCAGATGTTTAGACCCCGAAACTTAGGAAATTTTCATGTTGTTTTTTCAATTTTTCATTATTGTTGTTAACTAAAAATGTGTAATTACTTAATAAATAATTGAATAAA